CCCCCCCCCCCCCCCAGGTCCTAGGTCCTCGCTACGCCCCTGGTTACACTTTTAAACTTAAGATCTTTTACGCCCGAGAAATAAAAACTGACCTTTCTATGTAGTTAATTCTTTGGCGGCAAAAAACTGCCTGACGAATGAGTAACGGAGCTCTACAAAGACTTACCAAAGACATGCCAGCTTTGAATTGTACCAGTCTGCTGAACCAGTGTACTCGAGGTAGAAATTTGACTTGAGCTCCAACTGTATCGTTTTCCTCTCGCTTCCCATCAATTTGCATTTTTTCACTGTAGACTACTCCAGTGATGATGTAAAGCTTGCTTTTCTCGTATGGTTCCATTTTGGAGGGGTCCAGTTTGGCATTGCTGAGGATGTTCCTTAGCTGCAGGTCACTTCGTATGAAAAATGAAAAAGTAATAAGTAAAAACAAGCGGAAAGTAACCCACGTTTCGATTTAAGTCATACTGACTTCATTTTCAAGGCTAAGACTTAATCCTATGACTTTGAAAATGGAGCCAGTATACGTATGACTTCGAAACATACTCGGTTTCTTTCGCTTCTTTTAGTTGCTTTCTTTTTTTTCTTCTTTTTTTTTTGGCTTTTTTCTTTAGTTGCTTTTTTAAGTCGCTACTGAATAAAATAGTACAGAAACATTTTTTTTCTTCATTATTGCAGCTGAATATCTATAAATACTGGCATAGATCGGAAGGGACCAGCCAAACTGTTCGTTATAATAGATTGTCCATGCATATTAAGAAGGTTAGCTTAATCACTGGGACAAACACAAGGCTTTGTAATAACAGGGTGTCCTTAGTCGTAGCAGTGGTACTTTATGCATGAGCAGACACGTGCATCAACAAATACATTCAGTATTGGTAGAATTTAAAATAATGTACTATGCATATATGACGTTCCTACCTTTCAGCAATAATGAGAGAAATGTGGTAGAAATGCTAGTCAGTTTACAGTCAAAACGCCCCCAAGTCCCCCCCTAGATTATCCATTATTTATTCATTATTAAGCACTAATTTATCAGTGAGTGCGAAAGGAGCTATTGAGGTGAGCCCTATCGTCAATAGAGAGTTTAGATTTACGTTCACGACAAACGTGAAACGTCAGTTGACCAGTTAAAAATTCTTTGAAATTACTGAAAAAAAAATCGCAAAAAAGTCCAAGTAGTAGAAAAACAAAAGAGTATTTGCGCTTGGTGAGAAGGTTTGTAAAAGGTAAAGTAAAATACAAGAAAACTATGAAAACGTGGTCACGTTTGCCGTTTGCGGGGAGAACAAAAAGTYAATCTAAAACTCTCTAATATCTCGTAAATATCTCCTACGATACGACCGAACTAGAATTTTATAGTAGTTGGTTTTTTGGGGAGGGAGGAAAACCTGAGAACCCGGAGAAAAACCCTCAAAGCACAGAAGAGAACCAACAAACAACTCTACTCATACGACACCGAGCTCAGCGGGACTCGAACAGGCGAGCGCGGTTATTATTTTGAACCCTGAGTCTTCGTATTCTCAGAAAGAATCAATATTGATAGATTTAAATATTCGAATAATAAATAAACCATTAATGAAATCTAGGAGAGTAAACTTGAGCCGTTGACTGTAATACTCAATTAACAACGATATATCTAGAATCTACACTGCTACATCTACTGATCCATATGGACATTGTTACGCGTATCATTTCGAATCCCCCACTCCCCCTCCCCTCTACAGATTCCATTCAGTTTCATCATGTCAACTTTCGTCATGTTGCAACGTGTTGGACGTATTGCATATTGCGGCTTGTTACACATGTTTACTAAGCTTGAAATTTATTACATTCAAATGTAAATAATGTCAGCACAGGGGAAAATATGACGGACAAGCAAAGAGACAAGGCTTTAGAAAAATTCATATCGTTGTGACGTTTCGCTAAATAGTATTTACATCGCTCATAGTGAAATTCTAGCTTGGTATTGCAAGATTCAAAATTATGAGAAAACTTTCACCAACCTTTTTTTAAAAAATAGCTTTATACGTCAATTAAATTCCAATCATTAACGGAAAACAATGATCATAAAAAACTAGCATATTTTAGACTTACGTGTAGTATTCTTCCTGTACGCTAGACAAGTTCAGTTCTCCAAGAAGAGTATGCCTATCAGTATGAAGACCAACGACAGCCTCACCAAATTCCACATCATATTTTCTCGTGGAGTTTGCACTGGTTCCACTACGTACTGTAAGAATCCTGTCCTTCTGTAAGCAACCTTCCATCATCGAAGTTACATTTGACCTGACTATTTTGTCGTTAGCCAGATATGCATCTAGTACTTCAAGAGCAATTTTTTTGGGCCGTCTAGTGGCTCTTCGCCAGCAAGATAAATTCTCTTTCACTACTAAAGCAAGCGGTTGAATGGCTTTGTTATGACCTTGCGGAGCAACGTGATAATCAGAACCAAAGTTCTCGTAAGCAAACGAGCGAATAAGTTCGTACATCATTTTGAATGCCGTTAGATTCACCTAATGAACATTTTCCATGATTCTCTCTCACAAATGATTCGTGGAGCTGTGCGTAATACAGCTGTTAGGGAAGATTAATCAAATTTCAAAAAACAATAGTGTAGGTGCACAAAAAGGGTCAAATGACCGAAAGCAAGCGGTTCCGGTTCGAAAGCAAACACGTGCGTTACACTAGACAGATCCTTTGAAAATGAAATTAAGTTATGACGGATTGGTTTACTTAAGATTAGCTTAGAGGGTGGGGAGACTGGGGGGTTAACTCTCTCTCTCTTTCTCCCTCCCCCACTCCCCTAGAGCGCCGCTACGCAGGCTAGAAATTTAAAGGAGACTGCAAGTAAGCATGATAATAATAAATAATAACGGACCTGAGCGAGCCTAGCTAAACCAGTCTAGACTTCATCTACCTCCCCCTGGTTTCTTATTATTCATAACCTTAGCTATGTTTAAAAAAGGTCAAAAATTTTAAAAATAAAAAAATGATTCACTTTCGAAACTGGCTATCTATTTTGATTGACGTCTTTCGTTTTGTTCTTCAGTATAGTAATGACAGTAATAATCAGAAGCTGAATTAAAATCATGACAAAAGTAATGCTCTCAACCCCAGGAGACTGACAACCAATGAAGCGATCGTAACACCTCTCTTTTAGTCATAGTACCATATATATATTTGAATATATCTGATCTTGAAACGCGGGACGAATCAACCTGAGCCTGGTAATGACTACGAACCACACACGCAAAAGCTAAGSAATCTTAAATAGCCAATACGTACAGGAAGTCATAAGATTGAAAGTGAAGTAGAGGCACTGAGGTAAGGTCGAAAAAATGCTCCAAAATATGGACCTGATCTTCTAATAGGCCCTTTGCAGCTAGTGGTCACGTGCTTGGATACCGCTTAGCAACACAAAACTGGAGAGCAAGCCTTCCAGTAAACAAAAGTTGTAATAG